AATCTACCAAGTAGGTCACTCTTTTACTAGCTAAGGTCCAGTTTGAGACATTGGTTCTCCTTGAAAGCATATTTGTGTACGTGAACAGTCAAATATGCAAACTTCTGCAGTAGACTCTTCTGCTCTAAGGTGCGCCATGCACTCGTTTATGATTGACCAGTTTAGCTGTGCACGCATTCGCGTGCATCACACGGGACTGCATTGGTATGAAACAGGGCCATTGATATTTTTATAGTCCACCGTGGGAAACTCCGCAAATCCTCGGTGGCGCCCACCAACAGCATTTGGCCCCATTCCTTCGCCAACCTTTATCCACTTCTCCCAGCCTCTGGGCTCTCTTTGAAAATACTCCGCCTACTTCAACGCACACTCTACCCACCAATAGCAGTTGATCTGCCTTCCGTTGGCGGACTCAATCCTCAATTTTCTCCGATCTCCAGGACTTCTTGGAGCCGAGTTAGAAAGTTTCGTGGATAACTCCGCCTTTGGACCTGCCCCGCCCACCAATAGCAGTTGGGCTCCACTCCTGCACCCACCTCTATCCACTTTTTTCCCGGTCTCCAGGGCTTCTTGGAGCCGAGTTACAAAGTTTCGTGGATGGCTTCCGCCCCCTTTGGCGCACACTCCACCCACAAATAGCAGTTGACCACCCTTTCATTTATGGATTCAATCCACTTTTCCCGGTATTCTCGGAACTATATTATAAATTTTGGGCAAACTCCGCCCACATTGATGCACACCCCACCCACCAATAGCAGTTGACCTCCCTTCCGTTGACAACCAACTTTTTTCCCGGTCTCCAGGACTTCTTGGAACCGAGTTATGAATTTTCGTCGCAAACTCCGCCCACTTTGGTCATGCCCCGCCCACATGACATTTAGCCTCCACTCCTCTCTATCCACTTTTTTCCGGCTCTCTAAGACTTCTCGGAACCGAATTATGAGGACTTGTAGAAAACGCTGTCTACTTCAGGACACGCTCCGCCCATTGTGGGCGGGCCTCCGTTCACGTCATGTATGCTGGGAGCACCTTAGACATTGCTCCCCTACACCAATTGTTTTCTGCTCTGTAGGCTTTCTCCCAACCGAGTTATCAATTTTTTCATAAGCACTGCTTTTTTGGAGAACGCTCCGCCCACTGGGGGTGGCGTTCTCCAAAAAGAACGTACATAATACGTACGTACGGCGTAATTCGATCTGACTTATCATTGCACACCTTACCTACGCTTTTCCCCGGTTTCGATGCTGTTTTGGCATAGTGCTAGAAATCCCGGTCTTCAGTACACTCATTTCGACGCACGCCACGCCCACTGTGGGCGGGGCTCCGCTTAGCTGATGTGTGTTTTGTACTTCTCGAGACCTGGCCCACCCATCCCACACTTGACCCGGTCTCTCCAGGCGGATCCCAAGAAGCTAGGGATTTTCGTGACAGACAGACACCGTGACACACACAGACAGACATAGCGCATTATATATAGTGGGATATTTGGAAAAGCACTCGAAAGTTATACCCCTCATCTACTGTCGCGAGAGCGAATGTCTTGATTTTGATCGTTTGATGCTGAGCCTGTGTCTAATGAAAAGACTCCATTCGCATCTTTGTTACATTGCAACGTGACTCCTACGATTACGACCCCACTCCCCCCCCCCGTTCCTCTCCCATCGGCCGAACACGACCGCATTGGACTTGGTCCAACAGATGGGTAACCGTGGGGCCGTATGCAACAAGCCCCGAAGATCTTCGGGGATATATCCCCGAAGTCGTATGCAACAAGCCCCGACGCTCGTCGGGGATATCCCCGAAGTCGTATGCAACAAGCCCGAAGTCGGGATATATCCCCGACGACTTCCGGGGCTTGTTGCAGAGACGGCTTCGGGGAGGAGGGGCGAGTTCGGGACCTCTGGTTGCATACGGCCCATGTCACCTCTGTACGCGCTAACACTTCTCATATCTCTTTTACGTGAACTCTCACAGCTGTCTTTGCCGCATTCGTTCCGATACATTAGAAGGACAATCGGAGATAATTATTGATCGACTCTGTCATCCATACATAATGCGCACTTTCTAGACTTCAGTTTCAAAATCTCTTCCGGCCATTAAGCACACGTAATTCATTTGTCGACAATCTCGTTAGTTATGTTGAAGTTGTTCATAAGAGCCTATGTTGGATCACTGACGTTGGAATCGAAAGTTTGGTGAGACCAAGCATATGCAGTTTTGACGCTCAGCTTTATTCTAGCCATTGAACGAAACTACGCATCTCTCGACATGACAGTGCCTGTTCCAATCAGACGTAACGGACGCGAGAAGATTATTAGCATTTTAGTGACCGCATATGCTGATAGTACGATGTCTTAAGCATCTAATGAATATGCTTCTCTTGAGACAGGACCACAAAGATTGTTCACCACATTTGCAATATATATCGATGGAATACAAATGAGCATGTGATTTCCACGGTATGGCAATTAATGATCATGAGATGACTACTGGGTAGTTTCTTCTGCGAAGTCAGTTGCGCAATTCTCATTACCTGATTCTGTTATAGAAGTTAAGACTCCCGCATTGCGAAGATAAGAACTTCAGGAGAGGATTTTTGGTTTGATCGGGCCAGCTGCGTCGTAGAAACGAAGATCCGAGTAATGTGTCTCGTGGTTTTGCATGAATGACAAGGATAAGAAAAGAAGAACCAGAAAAATGGTAAAATTGATTACCATGCTTAGTGAGGAGAAAAACTGTGGGATTTTCTTGAAGAAATTCAATACCATTGATGGAAATTTCTGGAAAAATAGTGAACTTTCCGTTGTTCTACCAGCCCTTTTCTCGGTAAGGACGCATCTTCTGTGAGAAGATCTCATTGGAAAATTGAAGCATTCCCTTGATAGTGATGTTAGTGGATCCGCCTGGACCAGGACCAAAGTTTATCTGCGGTTCCGTTGTTATTGCGATATTGCACTGGGCCGAAGAAATCCATACCCGTATTCTCGAAGGGATAACGAGGAGGTCGAACTCTTTGTTCTGGATGAACCGGAAAGGGAGGAAGGGGGTATGGTTTGGCCAGATATCTCTTGCACTGGTAGCAGTCGTTGTGAAGTATCCTTTTCACCGTGGCTCTTCCTTTGGGTATCCAAACCTTTTGCCGAAGAAGGGTTAGAGTGTGGTTCATTCCACAGTGATTGTGGGATTGATGAGTGTGGAGGACAAACAGTTCAGTGATACGAGTGTGAGCAGGTAGGAAGACTGGGCTGATAGCTTCCGCTGACAAGAAAGCCTTATCGATCCGGCCTCTGCATCTCCAAAGTAAAGTGTCCTCACACAAGTACAGTCTCAATTGCTTCATGTGTGTTTCAGATGGAGGAGCGATCGTCTGCGCGACACGAAATAAGATGATCTCAGCCTTGTGGAGAAGATTAACCTTGTCGCTGCCGAAGTGTAGTCGAGCTTGCGCTGATTTTAGAGAGAGGAAACTCAGAACGTAAAAGATTGAGTTCACGAGCTTTGTCCAGGAGCTAAAACGAGAGGGGTCCACTAGCGTGGTTCGGGAAGTGTCATTCGCAGAAACAGCTGCCAGAGTACATAGAGGCGTATGTTGTTCGTCTTCTGGTTCTACGTTTTGGCTTCCTTCCACTAATTCGGGCCAGTCATCTTCTTTGGAGAGGAAAGTTGGTCCTTTCCACCATTCTCTTGTTGACAACAATTCCAAAGTAGTGCAACCCCGAGTGCCCAAGTCGGCTGGATTGACATTTCCAGGTACGTGTCTTATGTGAACTCCCGATGTATTTTGTTTTATTGTTTGGACACGATTCCGAACGAAAACAGGAAGATGCTTGTTGTGAGTAATCCAAGCCAAGGCGACTCTACTGTCTGGTCCAAAGATATTTTCTAGCAATGGGAACATCGAGCTGCTTGAACCAGATACGAGAGCAATTTGGCACCAATGGTTACCGCTGCTAATTCAAGTCGCGGGATTGTGATCGGTTGGTTGAGCGGAGCCAGGCGCGATTTGGACATGATGAGGGATATTTCTGGCTTACAATTTTGAAGACGTCGTACCATGTAAGCAGATGCACAGTAGGCACTAGCGGAGGCATCAGTGAACACATGGAGGTCGTATTCTGCCACAGAGTTATCACGGATGTTGAAAATGAGCCGAGGAAATGTTAGAAGTCCTGCTGTCCAAGAAGATATAATCTGAGTCCATTGGGTGAGTTTTTCTGCAGGCAGGACATCATCCCAAGACATATCACTTTTCCAGAGAGACTGCAGAAACAGCTTGCCTACGAGGATTACTGGAGCAAATAATCCAAGTGGGTCGTACATGCTGGCAACGTGCTTAAGTACCTTCCTCTTTGTCCAAATAGTGTCGCTCACTGGTTTGGGAAAATGGATAGTCAATGTATCCATTGAAGTATCCCATTTTAGACCAAGGAGGTTCTGGATTGCAGCTACTTTGTCATTGCCATCATTCTCGAAGTACTCGTTGAGGTCCTCGGAATTACTGGCGAATGCCCTCAAATTCATGCCGGCATCATTGAAGAGCTTTCTCGATTCCTTGTAGAAGGTAATTCCATCGTTGAGGGATTTGACTCCATAGAATACATTATCGACATAAGTATTGTGCAGAATAGCTTGAGAAAACTTGTTGGTTGATGCGGCAAGATGGTAGTGTATCGTTCCGGCTAATAGAAACGGGCTACTCACTAGACCGAACGGAACTCGAGTAAATCTGTAGATGATGATGTTATCAGGAGAGGGAGGCTTTGTTGGATCATCGAGCCACAAAAATCGAGTGTAATCCCTGGAGTCAGGATGAAGTCCAACCATGAGGAACGCCTTTTCGATGTCGCTTGAAATGAGGATTTTGTAGAATCTAACTCGAAGAAGAATCCCGGTAAGGTCAGGTAAGAGTACTGGACCTCGGTACAGGATATCGTTGAGACTTGGACAACCCTTCAGCTTTGCAGAACCGTCATATACGCATCTGACCTTCATCGTGTCACCAGTGCCTTTTACCACTCCATGATGTGATAGATAATGGGACCGAAGACGAAGTTGATAGTCGGGAACACGTTCAATTATTCCTCTTTGTAATTGTTCCGAAAAAATGTTGGAGTACTTCTCCATGAGTATTGGATTACGCTGGATTGCACGGGTTTGACTGCAAAGTCGAGAGAACGCTAGTGAGTAGTTGTCAGGAAGTTGTGATGGATCAAGTTTGAACGGAAGTTTGACCGTATATCGCCGTTCCACTTCGTCATACACAATGGAATTATTGAATAGTTTGAGACATTCCTTGTCATCGTTATTAGAGGGATCGTCGACAATACCAACGGACTCTAATTTCCAGAACTTGCTCACAAGATCAGAAAGATCCTCATGTTGAACGGGATGAGAAGGATCACTATTCTGGAGGAAAGATGTGTAATTCATGCACGGGCTCACATCCTCAGAGGTTGAACCTCAGAGTACACCGACGAACAATACATTTCTGCACTCATTGTGCGTGCGTTTTGGAGGAACACACGAATCATCTGTCCAAAGAAAGAAGCGTTTCATGAGGGCTACGAAGTTTTCAAAGAGGATAAGATCCCAAAGGTAGTCGTTTCCAATCAATATTGAAGGTTTGCAAGGAGAAGTGGCAAACCTGGTCTGCGTGGCGTCGTCGGAGAATTGAACTTGCTGCAGCGTCCCTGTCAACTTCGGCACCGACTTTACATCAATCAGCTGTTCTCCCTTTTCTGTAAGTAGTCCTACAGTATGATTTCCGCACTTGATCGTGAGAGAGTTGTCAGTTCCGAATGTTGATACCATTATTTGCTCACAATTCTGAGTCGAAAGACCTAGTACAGCGGCGGCTTCATTGGTGATATATGACTTGTTTGAGCCGGAATCGAGAAAAGCTGTTACGGTTAATTGTCTCGATGGATCTGAAGGATTGAAAAGACTCACATCAGTACACATCAGTGTGGCTTGGTGACCAGTACGCACTTCTTTGGACCGCTGATTCAACGAGCAAGTGAAAGCTTGTCGTTTCTGGTTCAGCTTGGATTTGTGAACTCGAGCAATTCGCATCGGCTGAGTCGGCTGACATCTCCACGAAGTGTGCGTGTGTCCTTTGCTGAGAATGGTTCCGCCGAATACGAGGTGAAGATGTAGCAGTTTTCAGTCGTGCAGGAAGAGCTGGTGCAGCGTGAGATTGATCGGTTGCTTGTCCACGGTTGGAAAGAAAACAGAGTGAGGAGTGGTGTCTTCTGGAGCAAAATCGGCAGAAACGTTTGGATTTGCATTCCTTGGTGGAGTGTAGTGAAGAAAGGCAGTTGTAGCATAGACGATGAATTTTTGCTTGTTCTCTCCTTTGCTTGGGAGTCGCGAATACGGTGCATTCAATGGAGACGTGAAGGAAAGAGTGACAGTATGGACACTTTTTGACGTTGCTCTTTGCATTGCTTTTCCTTTGAGATGGCTTCGCTGGTTGTTGAACAGGTTTCGACGTGGCATGAAATCCTTGGTAGAGAGCGTCCGGGAAACGTTGTGGTCGGGAGTGATATTCCATTTCGTATAGAGTCGAATCCTTGCGCACGATGTCGGTGAGAAGATTCAGCAGTTCAGAAGGAGTGACATTGTGACTGTGAGCGGTTCTGTCGTAAATTTGACTCCGAACTCGAAATGGTAGTTTGTTGAGCAGAAGAGCTCCGAGTCCCGTTTCTGTCGAGTCATCTCTGCCTTTCGAAAATTGTCTGACGAGAGAAAACATCTGATTATATAAAGAAGCGAGATGACGGCCTTCTTCGTCACATGGAGGCAGCTGTGCTAACTTCGTGTACAGGATATGCTTCAGTGTGACTTCGTCGTCGAACAAGGTTTTGAGAATATCTCTAGCGATTTGATAATTTCCTTCGGTCATTGAGAGGCCGTGAATTGATTGTAGGGCTTTTCCGCGCAGGCAAGACTTCAACAGAGAGAATTTTGTCGTATCGTCCAGCTGAGGCTTGTTGCCAACTAGTGCATCGAATCGAGCCTTGAATTCGGGATAATCCAGGAGGTTTCCGTCGAATGTGGGTAGTTCTAGTTTGGAGAGAATCGAAGCATCAACGAAGTTGAGAAGGTTAGAATCCGTGATCACATTTGACGGAACGAAATGACGGTTGTGCGGAGTTGAATTTGGAGGCAATGTTGTGGAACCTCTCACCTCCTGACTTTGCGGCTGCCATTGAGTGTCGTTGCCGTCTTGAGAGGCTTCGGAGGAATCGGATGGTGGATTGAGCTTCCGACGGGCATACTCCATGTCGATGGCGTTCAATAGTTCATCGCATTGTTCTAGATGAGTCACTGTGTCGGTAATCGTATCTCGGTAGTCTCCATATTTTCTGATGTAGTCCTCGAAAATCGTCCTTTCGTTCGCATCCGACTGCTGCATTAATGTCCATTTGTCGTGTAACCCGATGATGGAGGTGTAGGTCTTCATGAGAATGTCCTTGATAGACTTGAGTTCATAGCGAAACGATTCCAACTCATCTTCGTCGATTTGATTGAAGTTGTAATTGGTAGGTTCAACGTTGTATTCTTTGAGAGTACTCACGACTGTCGAGACGTGGCGTTGAAGTTGTCGTTTGAGAGCTCCGATTTGTCGTCGTATTTGAGCGCTGTCGTGTGAAGACATTGTTTCTGTCTGGAGAGAAGTCTATGGGCGAATCGACGAATCCTTATGAAAGGTAGTGTTCTCGAGAGAGACGTTGATGATGAGCGGAGTGTGGGCTTGTGGGCTGACTCCTTTGTTATCCTGCCGTGGTCGCCACTTGTTGGTACACTGACGTTGGACGAACTTTTATTGAAGACAAGCAATGATTTTTGGCTCAGCTTATATAGGTGTTGAGGAACTAACGCTCTCTCGACATACAGTGCTGTTTCACAATCAGACGATCGGAGAGAAGATATTGCATTTAGTTATCGCGATATGTAGATGCTTTACTAAATAGAAATATGTACTCTTAGAATGAACACAAAGATTTTTCCCACATTTGCAATATTATCATGGAATACAAAATGAGTAGTGATTCCCACGTATGCCAACGATTGGAAGATGAGATGTACTGTAGTATTCTTCTGTAAGTCCAGTTTCCATTTCGATTAACTATTTCTGTAAAAGTTACAGAAACTCCCGCGCGAAGAAAGAAATCAGAGAGACTTTTTGTTTTGATGTGTTCCTGAACAGAAGGATCCGAGTAATGTGTCTGTGGTTTTGCATATAGACAAGATAAAGAAAAGAAGAACCAGAAAAATGATAAAATTGATTACCATGCTTAGTGAGGAGAAAAACTGTGGGATTTTCTTGAAGAAATTCAATACCATTGATGGAAATTTCTGGAAAAATAGTGAACTTTCCGTTGTTCTACCAGCCCTGTTCTGTAAGGACGCATCTTCTGTGAGAAGATTCTCATTGGAAAATTGAAGCATTCCCTTGATGGTGATGTTAGTGGATCCGCCTGGACAAGACACTAAGCAGCTCTGAGACACGGTTGGGCTTTCGAAGTGTAGACGTATTTTGTTGAGGTGACCTTTGGTTGTGCATCGCAAAACCTGAGTCTGAGTTGAACATTCCATATTTGCTGTGATTTCTCCCTCACTGCTTTGACAAGATACACTCAATTCTGCTCCTGTGAAACAGTTGTAACATCCAATCAAATCGCCTGTTTCAATTGCGCAAGTGCTGTTGGAGGAACGCGAT